CCAATTGAAATTTTTCAATGATACAGAAAGTACATGGTGTTTTTCATCCTATCGTAACAGTTATAGGGAATAAAGTTACGTGCGTGTGTGTTGGTGAGTGAATGCTGACTCATATGAATTTTTTAAATATCGGGATCTATGTGCTTTTTGCGAGGGGGTGCCCCGTTTTGTGCGCGGTGCCATTCTGCATGGGATTCTCTCTCTCTCTCTCTGTATATATTTCCTTTAATCTTTAAGTGTCCGAGAGCTTTATAAATATATTTTATAAATTGAATTAGAATATTTCATATAAAAAGATTTAAACAAATATTAATTCCTTACTGATTATGTTACCTGTATAAACTATTCCTAGATTCTTTTTAGACACCCCCCCCCCCTTACGAAATAACTAGATCTGCTCTAAATTAGTAACAATAAATAATAACAAAATAAGAAATTCCTTAGGAATAGTTACATATTAGTCGCTTGGAAGAAAAAAAATTAAATACCTTTAAGTTTTAAATTCTCAAAACGATCGATGTTACTAGTATCTAAATAACGTAATTTTAAGAATTTATGAAAAATGAATTAGACGCAGGCGACGTCATTACGTTTTCAGTGAGTAACGTCAAAGTTGGTTTTGGAGCGCCTCACTAAAATGCTCATAAAAAACTGAAAAAGTGAGATATTTTCAAAATTTATGTATATTTGCATTCAGAACGAGTTCGGCTATCAAAATTCATCAAAAGGTCATTTTATGAAAATTTGACCTTAAGGGCCCTTTTCTCGTGACGGTAGTCATATCTCTTTTCCTACGCCGCATGGGCTCAGCAACATTTAGAGCATTGAGCAATGTCGGCAGAGGAACTTTGAGTGCGTATGTCTGTTTTTTAAGATATTGATTGTAACGACAGCAAAATTCATCGAAATTTACATTTTCAGTCCCAATATTATACACATTTAATTACCTGTGTTGTCTTTAATGCAAAGGAAATGATATGGATGACACAGATTATTCCGAGAAACTTGTAAATTAGTTATAATTAAACTCTAGTTGTCCTTGGCGATTTACGACTGACAGAGGTCAGCATTATGAGACATGTGAAAGGTCTATACGAGATAGATCACCTCCAAACCAAACTGACCGATGCCTGGTACATCTTAAAGAGAAGAGACAAACACCGACAAAACACTCTCTGAATTAGGCCAGATTATCAGACTCTTGACCAATTTGGCTTAACACCCATTCTCAATATAAGGGCACAAATGCCTCTCTGATTTTTTAAAAAATGAAGTTCAAGAAAACAATTTTTCTATCAATTACCTTTGAAAGAAAGTATCTAAAGATTTTGTTTCCAGATTTTTTTCATCAAATTATAATACATGGAATAATGACAAGACGATAAAGCAGAGGGTGATTTTTTTTCAGAAATGTAGCTTGAAATGTACGTTACTCTTTCTTCAATGTCCAAAAAGATATGTTAAAAAAATGTAGTCATTAAAATCACAATTGGAATAGCTCATCTTAACACCAGCACACCCTACCAACTCTGTCAGCAACATATTTTCTCGGCATACGAACGTGCGTTTGATTTTTCCTTTCAGAAAAACAATGGTTAATTTTTGATACAGATGTATAAAAACATTTTTTAAATATATGCTTTAAATTCTTCTCTCTGTTTTGTTTAGAGCTATCAGTTTGGAATCTTGTCATTTTCTATAGATACTGGAACCTAACATGTACATGTAGTAAACTTCTATTTTGTAGTTACTGTCTTTTTTAACATATATCCATGCCGATTTAGAAAACTACGTAAATGCAACGTACATTTCAAGATATATTTCTGTTTAATAAAAAGCTTAAAATTCATCTAAAAATTCATAGTTTTGTTTCAGTTTATTTAAAAAAGATTCTCTATGTAATCACATTGTGTTATATGTCGCTAACTCCACTATAAAGACACGATTGCCTCAGAATATGAGTAGGTAACGTACATTTCAAGCTTGTAATAATATGTAAATTAGTAATAAGAAATTTTGAAAAAAAAGCAATTATTGACATAGAAATCATTTCAATGAAGCGTTTTAAGGCAGTAATATAAGAAATCATAATGTAACAAACGAAGTTATTTGTCATCAACTACATGAATGTCACGTCACTTCGGTAACGTTCATTTCACATATTATTGGAGCGTCCCCTCCACCTCAGTTCATTACCATTCTTTTGTGCTGTTTCCGGTCGTAGCCTAGTTACTTCTACCTGTGTGCAAGGGTACAGACAAAAAAATATAAGAGACGTATTTTGCTATGATCTAACAAATGCTCGTGTTTGGCCATTGAAACTGAACATAAATCTATTCCGAATATATCCATCGACAGTTTGTTAACTATTTCATTTAGTATGTTGCAACATCGTTTTTCAAAACACAAACATACGTGCTTTTCAGCAGATCTGGAAAAATATAACCCAAAATGCAATGATTCAAACAAAACTGAGTATTGTGTGCCTTTCAGTATTTGAAATGTACGTGACCGTCTTGTGTTCTGGACTTAGGCCTATTTGTTTCTTTTTTTTCTATTTTTTTGTTTCTTTTTTTACGTTATAAGCCTATGCATGCCTTGTTTTAAATTATCAACAACAATTAAATTAATATTGACGAAAAGTCGCATATTAAAAGTAAACAAACTACAAAAAGGTTGCCTAAGATGAATTTAAGACACTTAGAAATAAATTATCTAGCATGTGGTAAAAGTCTAAAACAATTACGAGGATTAGGGTGAATTTAGATGGATTTATGTGGCCAGTTGTCAAATGGATTGTAACGATAATTTTGTTTCGCTCGTGTAAACGCAATTCATTGACTAAATTAAAAAAAATGTCAGTTAGAAATACGTAAAATGTACGTTACCATACGTAACGTACATTTCAAATATAAAAATCAATTCTCTTCCACAAGCGTACGTTAGACACGCAATATATTGATACTATTTGAACTTGCATATCATAAGAAATGCATCATACAAGTTACGTTTTCGGAAATATATACCAGGTATCAAAATTATATTACATATAATTGACCTTAATATATTTTTTTCCCTAAGCAGAAATGTTTCTTTTCATTAATTTTGGGATTTAGCCGACCTCTAACCTTTGAAACTTTCCTTTGTGTACACATTCGAGTGTGTGAAAGTATGAGAATACATGAAAATTCGTGCGAGATTCACTTAATTCGAATTTCATGGTAACGTACATTTCAGTCACGTACATTTCAAATGATCACTTTTCATGTAAAAAATAATTTATAATTGTGTTAAGCAAAACGTATTTGCCAGTTTACAGGATACAAGGGGTTGCTTATTCACAGTCGTCTCATATTTTCTACTTAATATATATTCTTAATGGAAGAATATAGGTAACGTACATTTCTTTCTTATCTCTACGATTGAAAATGTCTTTCAATCCGTAAACATATTTATAAAAGTTGCTCAAATCGTTCAATTTCATGTTACATTATCTAAGTAGGAGTAAATAATCCTTTGAAATTTCAAATTTAGCCCATCAATAAATAAAGGAGAACAAAACTATCAGGTGTATAATCTTTGTGTTTGCTTGTAATTTGGTTGAAATAGAATTAAGCGACAGGGACATTGCTCAATAAAAATTATTTATTATCACAAAGAAAATGTATTTATTGTTATGAAAAGAAATATATATGAAACAAGGTTTAACTTATCAGAAAATTTTTACTTAAGAATCAAAACTATATATTACACAGAGCGGATTCAGAATAATATTTGCCTTGGCGACAGTAACGTACATTTCAAATAGGCTACTATATTTGAATTCGGAACTCCTTAAATACCCTTTCAGATCGATAATTATATGAATTCTTATTCATTGTTATATGACTATTTATTATGTTGATTTAGAAATTACATCAGTGGTATTTCTTTTAAATGAAAATGAGGCGACATTATTTGAGCCCTTATATTGAGAATGGGTGTTAACCAGGCGAAATTCGTGAGACCCTGACAAAGGATAATTCATCAAAGTGCGGCAGTGGTTGCTTATTTAACAAAATTTAAAGAAATATTGATCCTTGACATTATGAAAATAAATCATTGCAACGTCGATGTTAGTAATGAAGTTCTTGATGATAATGGTCATGATAGGAGAAAGATAATTGAAGGTTCACTCTGGTGCTGTAGCTAATACAGTGAGCATTCCGCCAAGGAGTGAGATGATTGTACCTAGTAAAGTGTGTGTTCCGAAGGGGTTAAGTTTGCCATAAACCGATAGTATTATTGAACCAGTTGAAAAGTACAAAAAATATCAGATCACATTCACAGCAAGAGCAGTGGTAACTCTCATAGAAACGGTGTAAGATAGACTAATGAACGTTGAGCAAGAGTCAAATGTGCACTCTGGAGAAGTAATTGATAAACCTGCTGAGGGTGATAGTGATGGACTGACTGGTAAATTAGAAATTATCAACTAGTAGAATGCTTTGTTAGGATTTACCTGATTTACGTAATAAAAGTAAGAACATTATGACTCCTTCGCAGAAAACCTGTTGCTAAAGTATACATGTTTATGTACAGAAAATAGCTTGGACTATGGCATTATTTGAATAGTAAAGCATCATATCGATACAGGTGACAGTAGACCTATTAAATAAAGACCACGAAGGGCGACAGCAAACCTGACAGAAGAAGTCGACAAAAGTATAGATGACATGCTTAAAAATGGTCCTCGCCAATAGATGCACTGTACACGATGCATACCCTCAAATATCATGTTTTGTTTAATTTTTTTTCTTTGGAGAAAATCAAAAGTAGCTGAAATAAGCTTAAGGGTGAACGGATTTTCTCTGTACACCGTACCGTAAAATCCACAACCCCCCTTCTCCAAAAAAAGTTAACCATTTTGTTTCCATGTTTTGAATGATGTTTGACTGAAATCAAGATACATGACTGTTTATTTAAATGTTTTAGTAGAAAGGATCTATACAAAAACATACCGCTGTTTAAATCTGTAATAGAAACTGAGATGTCATCTTTTACAAGACCAACTGCTGACAGGATATCTGGATCATAAAAAAAATACCATCAAATATTGATTTACTTTCCCTTTCTTTGAGTCATCTATGAAGTGATTGTATCCATCTTCTGTTGCAAATGTCATGCTCATTAACATAATTCCATACTTAATATTCATATCGCTAAGCCTGTAATTTTTTCGGAGGGTTGATATAAACCCTACAAATTTATTTAGAATCGCAATCTTCTTTTCTGGATTCATCCCTGCATATTTGTGAATAATATTTTTCATTCTTTCAAGCAAATGCATGGCAGACTCTTCTCGTCATCAGATGTGATTCCATCAACGTACAATTCAAAACTGCTTTGAATATCACTGATTTCTTCTTCCGTTGACTTTTTGTTGATTGCGTCCATCATTTGATTAAGTGTAATTCTTTATTATATCACTCATTACGAGAACTTGAGCTCTTTTCGACGTGTCTTTTGCTTTTAATTTTATTGAGAAAATGTTCCATCTTCTTCCTGTAAATTATGAAATTAATATTTTCTTCTAGAGATAATAAATTTTACATGTATATCAAAAACGAGTTCAACTCGTTATTATACAATTACCATGAGGACTGTTATTTATATATTAAAGTAGCTATTGGTTAAGGTATGAAAGTTTTTATGAGTTTATATTAAATTAACTTGAAAATCGAAATCAGAAAAAAATGTTATTGAAGAAAATATAGAAATACTCTGTTCAAGGCGCAGTGTTTCAATGACAAATGGAAACATCGCCGAATTGTGTTAGATAAAAGTACATTCTTTTCAAGGATGGGCGATTTTTAAAAATAAATTTACTTATATCAGAAAAATGCTATGTGATTCATATCAACATGTTGAGGACGATTAGATTTATTCATTTTTATTACATACTTTGTAATAAAAACAGGGTTTTTTTTCATATGCGATATGGCTGACGTCACCATAGCTGTATCAGCCCTGCAGGGCTGATATGAATTTTCCGGGCTGATATAGGTTATCAGCCCTGATGCATGCAGGGCTGATACGGATCAATATCACACCCCCTAGTAAATAGAATATTTTACTGGGGGAACTACATAAAATATAGGTATAATAAATTTATTTGCAAGATTTCGTTTTGTTCAAAAAACTTTTCAAATATTTAAATGCTTCTTGGGTTCATGTGTAAAAAACTTGGCATGATTCAATGAGGGTATGCCCTCACGATAAATCGATTTCGTTGCACCCTTTACTACCTTCTCGGTACAGTTAAGGTGCACAATGAAAATATCAAAAATATTTTGCAGTTAAAAATATATTCATAATCGGAATGGCGATTCTTTTAGTGCATTATTTATATCGGATAATTGTAATTATTGTGAAAAACTACATACTGAGAACGATAAGATTTTATATCAATTTTTGACTTGTCACGTGATGCGGCAGTCACGTAATTTCAGCAAAATTACTTGCAGTATTGCAAGGGATTGTGGTCCACCGCTTTCGGAGTCTTTGTGGGTGAAATGCCATTTTGTGTTACTTATGAACGTCCTTTCATATGTCATTCAAAAGTTATCACTTTGAATTTTTTTTTTGAATTATGTCAATCGTGAAGGTCAAGGTCACGGTGTCAGAAATCATAGCGGAAATACCTTGTCACAGATAATGCTCATGCATATATGAAAGCCTGTACTCTTCTCAATCAAAAGTTATCAGGAAAATTTAACATTTATGCAAACGTAGGTCAAACATCAACGTCAAGGTCACAGGGTTACAGGGTAAAAAAAAATATAGTGTACTTAGAATTTTTTTGAATGAAACGACTCAAAATTCTCACAGAAAAAAAGACCGCAAAACATGATTTATATAGATGAAAACGTAAATTAAGATTAAAATGGGGGGAAAATTCAAACTTGTGATTAATATCCCAGATCGCATCCTTGAAAATTCAACATGAAAACAACCAGTGCAATTTTTCCAGCCATCGTCGACATTAGCTTTGCACTCATTTCCCAGAGTAACGACCGTCAGAGAGGCTAATAGTGCAAAATAATGGAATGAAAGCTAGCCAACAAAAAATTGTACAAGCAGATTCACATCGAAAATTTATTATTTGATTTTTACAATAACTGTAGCAAAAAGAAAAAAATAATCTGATACTGCTGAACTGATACTTTATATTCCTTTTGTTTACGTATTAAAAATTTTCCCTTACAATTCCATATAAAGACATGTCGATGTTATCGTTTTCATCGTTTTGCACACTTTGATATACAGTGAACCTTCAAATATCCGGACCCCAGATATCCGGATGCTTCAGTATCCAGACGATTTTTCTTCGGAACGAAATTTTTAAATTTTATTCTTTCTTGTTTAACTGGTGATTCAGATATCCTGATGCTTCACATAGCCGGACAAATTGACTAGGAACCAAAGCGTCCGGAGAACTAGGGTCCACTGTACTTGATATACTTCTGCATCTGTTCATTTGTCATAGTTTTATGAAGGACGGGTCACAATACATTATTTTGCGCCAATAGTCACGAGTAAATCTTCGTTCTTCTTTTTTGGACTGTTCTTTTTCAAGCGTGATAGCTTCAATGAAATAAATAATGTTCTCATAGCCTGGAAATTATTTAGAAAGTATACTAATTAAATTTGTACATACATGTATTAATTCTATTGCTATTTTTTGTTGTGTTGTTGTCCCCCGATTTTGAAAAAGCTAGGAAACATTAAAAGTTATTTGTCTGTTCGTCTGTCACAAAAACAATGCTTGGTAATATAATTTGAAAGAATAGGACTTTCATATTACGAATAAATATTACCTGTGACAAGACCTTTCTAAAACACTTTGATTTTTGACGCCATGA